TTTCTCAAGTTTTACTCATATCATCAATTACTTATTTCCAAATTATTTTCAAAAGATGATATACTAAATATCAATTAGTAGGAATAGTCCGGCAAAATAGTCATGTCAATCATTATTTTCTTAATGAGTATGCCAAGTCCAAATATGATTAGAAAAAGCGAATGAATGGAGTAACAACCGTTAATATTTTGTTAGTTTTTTTAAACTTATAATTGTTATCAGTATTCGTTTTCTTTACGTAAAATTACCTACTTTTTATACCAGTATTTGGTGTACTGTATTGTAGAAGTTCATTATTTTATAATATATATATATATATATAAAACATAAAGTTCTTTAGAAATGTTGATTAAAATTTTTTCCTTTATTAAAAAACTCTTCAATAGATAAAATGTGTGAAAATTTTCTAATAAAGACATGGGAAGGTTGTGTACGTGAAGGGATCCTAGAATAATTAGGAAGACTCTTACGAATATGGGAAGTTTTGCTTATGTACGTGAGTCTTAAATATAAGTGAACTAAAATATATGGAAACATGAGAAGTTTTGGTTGTGTACGTGATTGAATTTGAAGGTAGGTGAAGGTTTCTAATGTCCTCCAAAAATATATGGGAAAAGAACTATTAAAATATATGGATATATGGGAAATCCTGATAAAATATTAATTAGTGTCTTCCTTTTTCTTTTTTTTTTTGGATGAATCCTCTATTTTTATAAAGAGATTTCATCAAATAATTATTAGTATTTAATTATTATTCAAATATTTATACTTCGAAACTAATTAAAGTTATAATTATTAAATATTTATTTATTTGTAATTGATAAGACCTCTAAATTTTATTTTATTTTAAATTGACCAAAATTTTACTTCTTTCTTTATTTGAACTACATTAAAAATCCTAACTTTAAACTCAATTACGTATAGTTAACTTATGCATAATGCAATCATTTATATACTAAACTAACTAATGAAAGCAGAACAAGTTCATCTGTGGACAAAATGTAAAGCAAAACGTGAAGAAAACACACGCGCGCATATATATATACCCATAATATTCTAATACTGATAAATAATTTATGCGAGAAAATAAAATTCTTCTATTTGGGTAGGTCTTACTTGGAAGAAAGGATTTTGAAATTCTATAAATTGAGGATTATTATTTTCTTAAAAATACAATAATATCCACAATGTAGTCCTCAAATAAAATATTGTTGATGGGAGATGATTCTGTTGGCAACAAATTTTAAACATATGCAAAATAAATCAACCACACAAATAAAATCTGAAGAAACATGAATATTTTGTTGATAATTATTGCGGGTACAATTCTGTTCCTCCCTTGATTCTCATCTCATAAGATTTATCCATGATTTGAGGGCAGTTAGTGGCGTATTTCTCGAACTAGGATGATTCAGATTTGACCTCTATATGAATATTCCATGAATTTGCGGAATATTCGAGATTTCGATCTCTTTATGGAGTTTTTGAGATGCCTTTTAAGGGAATTTAGTACCCTTTATATAGGCATAAATTAGGGTTTATGGTTGAGTAGCCTCCAAGAATTCTAATTGAAACTGAACACACATTTGAGAGTCCCAATTCGAATTGAACACGTCTTGTAGAGTCCACAAAGTTTCAATGTCTATAGATTCTCTCAATGTTTTTTCTCTCTTCATATATCAATCATATATGTAGGTCAATTGATCAATTCAATTTAATATATTGAGTTCTTTTTTTATAATTTTGTTTTGTTAGCTTTCATACACCGCTATGTTGTTTCGATTCCAACAACATGGTCATAATTTGAGTTCAATCGTATTTTAAAGGTTCATCGAGAGTTGACGTAGTTCGCATATTTGATTATTATGTAATTCTCTTACGTAATTTCATTAATTGATTTATTGTCAATATTATTAATGGAATTAGAATATTTTCAACATGCACTTTTACATTCGTCTTAGCACAAGGCATACATTTTATCTTAAAGAGGAAAATACGTAAAATTAAAGAGGATCATATCTTTAAGTATAATTTTTATCTTAAAATATTACATTATATTTATTAGGGTTTTGTACTTAATAATACATACGGAAGTCGGTATTATAATTTTTTTTGTTTTTTGAGAAAAATAAAATATTGTTATTTATTTATTTGTTTAATACCGACATCAAGAGGTCGGTTTTTAATGTAATTCATTTTTTCCGGGAAAAATTTCGACCTCCAGAGGTCGGAATTTGGTTTTTTCGCTTTCCGCAAACTGACCTCCGGATGTTGCTTAATGTAATTCATTTTTTCCGGAATAAAAATACCGACCTCATGAGGTTGGTATTTTAATCACATATTATTTAATTTTACCGACATACGGAAGTCGGTATTATAATTTTTTTTGTTTTTTATTTTACACAAAACCTATTGAGAAAAATAAAATATTGTTATTTATTTATTAGTTTAATACCGACATCAAGAGGTCGGTTTTTATTGTAATTCATTTTTTCCGCTTTATTTTGCATAAAAACCGACTACTTGTAAATACCGACCTCCGGAGGTTGGAATTTTTAGGTCAGTATTCACTGTTTTTTTAGTTAGTGCTTGATTCTCCTCTCATTAAGATTTATCCATGATTCGAGGGTCGTTAGTGGCGTATTTTTCGAACTATGATGACTTAGATTTGACATCTATATGAATATTTCATGAATTTGAGGAATATTCGAGATTTCGATCTCTTTATGAAATTTTTGAGATGCCTTTTAAGGGAATTTAGTACCCTTTATATAGGCATAAATAAGGGTTTATGGTTGAGTAGCCTCCAAGAATTCTAATTGAAACTGAACACACCTTCTAAAGTCCCAATTCGAATTGAACACGTCTTGAAGAGTCCCAAAAAATTTCAATGTCTACACATGCCCCCTGCTTCAAGGCTTGTCGGAGTGTAGACTCGACAAAACTCAAAGATGAGGCTTGAAGTACTCATTCTTCCACATTTGCAGCTTTAGATGTTAAGATTTGATTTATGAGAGAAGAAATGAATGACAAATTTGGTCCCACTGGGCTTGCCAATTTGTTTGCAACAAATTTTAAACAAATGGAAAATAAATCAACCACACAAATAAAATCTGAAGAAACATGAATATTTTATTGATGATTATTGCGGGTACAATTCTGTTCCTCCCTTGATTCTCCTCTCATAAGATTTATCCATGATTCGCGGGCCGTTAGTGGCGTATTTCTCGAATTAGGCTGATTTAGATTTGACCTCTATATGAATATTTCATGAATTTGCGGAATATTCGAGATTTTGATATCTTTATAGAATTTTTGAGATGCCTTTTAAGGGAATTTAGTACCTTTTATATAGGTATAAATTAGGGTTTTATGGTTGAGTAGCCTCCAAGAATTCTAATTGAAATTAAACACACCTTCTAGAGTCTCAATTCAAATTGAACACGTCTTGTAGAGTCCCAAAAAATTTCAATGTCTATAGATGCCCCCTGCTTCAAGGTTTGTCAGAATGTAGACTTTATGAAACTCAAAGACGAGACTTGAAGTACTCATTCTTCCACATTTAATTTGTAGCTTCATATTTTCAGATTTGATTTATGAGAGAAGAGATGAAGGGCAAATTTGGTCCCACTGGGCGTGCCAATTTATTTGCAACAAATTTTAAATATATGGAAAATAAATCAACCACACAAATAAAATCTGAAGAAACATGAATATTTTATTGATAATTATTGCGGGTACAATTCTGTTCCTCCCTTGATTCTCCTCTCATAAGATTTATTCATGATTTGAGGGCAGTTAGTGGCATATTTGTCGAACTAGGATGATTTAGATTTGACCTCTATATGAATATTCCATGAATTTGCGGAATAATTGAAATTTCGATCTCTTTATGGAATTTTTGAGATGCCTTTTAAGGGAATTTAGTACCCTTTATATAGGCATAAATTAGGATTTACGGTTGAGTAGCCTCCAAAAATTCTAATTGAAACTGAACACACATTTAAGAGTCCCAATTCGAATTGAACACGTCTTGTAGAGTCCACAAAGTTTCAATGTCTATAGATTCTCTCAATATTTTTTTTTCTCTTCATATATCAATCATATATGTAGGTCAATTGATCAATTCAATTTAATATATTGAGTTCTTTTTTTATAATTTTGTTTTGTTAGCTTTCATACACCGCTATGTTGTTTCGATTCCAACAACATGGTCATAATTTGAGTTCAATCGTATTTTAAAGGTTCATCGAGAGTTGACGTAGTTCGCATATTTGATTATTATGTAATTCTCTTACGTAATTTCATTAATTGATTTATTGTCAATATTATTAATGGAATTAGAATATTTTCAACATGCACTTTTACATTCGTCTTAGCACAAGGCATACATTTTATCTTAAAGAGGAAAATACGTAAAATTAAAGAGGATCATATCTTTAAGTACAATTTTTATCTTAAAATATTACATTATATTTATTAGAGTTTTGTACTTAATAATACATACTTGCAAAACACGTACACTTAACTAAAAATATATTTAAAAACATGAAGGTTCTTAAAAAAATATATTTTAAAAGCTTGAAGGTCCTTAGAAATATTGATTGATCTTTTTGTCATGTCAACAACTTTTTAAAATAACTATTAAACCTTCCTATATAAAACTCTTATCATTTAGATAGACGTAACATTTATTTTAACTCCAATTGTTATTTTCTAATAATTTTATTCTTCTTGTATATAGTTTTATTAATTGAAGCGAGACACACGTACGAAGTACTTTCGTACGCACACTAGATTTTATTCTTTTTGTAGATATTTACTATTAATTAATGTGACATACATGTGCAAAGTACACACAATTAACTAGTCTTTTAATAATGTTTTGAAACTCTAAATCTATCCACTATATTACTTTATATCGTTATTTAATACTAAGGATAAAAAAACAACAAAATTCTTTTAATTACATAAGTTAAACAAATAAATGGAAACAATTATTTTTAACGCAACGAGCAAAGTAGTATGAAGGAGTACTACACTTTTGGTCGAAGTTCTTTAACTAACAAACGGATACAAGGAGACAATAATTGACTTTTCAGACTTCCGTAGACGGCTTGTGTTTATTTATTCTTTTAATAACAACATAACAAAGATTCATGATAGAAACGATGAATCTTTTGTGTTTACAATGTATAGAGACACTTTTGAAATATAAGTCCGTCAGCACAAGAGGGTGGTACGCAATAGCTCATTCAACAACAATGGAGCGAGGGTGACATTGGTGTCCCACACCTTGACAATGTGTGACCTCGCCTCAAGTTCACAATTAGCATAGAACTCTCGGACAAGGTGCAAGTTGCACTCAGTCGGCTTGGCAAAGATGAACTCCATGGAGCTCCTGAATTCGACGCATGATTTGGGGGGAAGTCCTTACCAAGCTGTCGCGGTCTATGCACACGTCAGAGAAGTATTTCGCCTCATTGTGCTTTCTCCACCAGCTCTTCCCTTTTTTGGTCACTGCTTTTAGGTCGAAACGGTGAGTTTGTCCACAGGGAACTGTGAGTGCAGGAGGAACATTGCCTCCGACTTGGACCCTTTTCCGGTGGCGTGAGGATGCCACCTCCTTGCCCGGTCACTGAGTTCTAGACATTGTTTCTTACCAACAATAACACACTTAATCAGCCCAACATAAATCTCCCAACACTCGTCGTGGGTGATCAAGAAACCACCCCACACTCATTTTTTTAACACGTCAGTCACCTAAACAAGAAGGTACTCGAATTTCTTCAACACGTTCAAGCAAGTCATATATAGCTCAAGGTGGAAATTTAGCAAACAATTGACGCCAAACTAATTGAATCTACTCAAGAATTCGAAATAACAAGAATGTCAAACCCCCAATCTCTTTCAAGCTATCCATAGAAAATTTTCATTCAAGGCATCATGACAGTGTTATTGTGTTACTCAAGAGTCGAGACTTCACACAACACAAATAAGGCCTTGCACAATTATATCAAGCTCAATTTACCCGCTAAATCCACTCTCAAACATCAAACAAATTAAGGTATGTGGGTATACATTCAAGGGTCCCATATGACAGGTGCAAGACTTAATCCCTTTCCCTAAGAACATAAATGCACCCATTGTAAGCAAATCAAGCATAAATTCGAAATTAGCACAACTCACATGTTGATCACCACACAACTTTGTCCAAGAAGATAAGAAACTAGTTAGAAGCATACCTTCAGTATTGAAGAAGATAAAATTAAGCAAGACTTGTCGGTGAAAGCAACTCCGCGTCACAGATTTGGAGCAAGACTTTTGTTAGGGTTGAGGAGGAGGGGAAATTTGCGTGAAAAATTTGAAGGGAGTGGGGGAATTTGGGCGGTTAAAAGGGGGAATGGATCGGGTTCTTCCAAGGTAAGACAGGTTGAAACCCATCTTTTTAATGAAATTCAAAAACTTTACCTCAAGTCCGCAACACAGAGTTGTCACGGACTCCCCTGTTAAGGCCTGTGAATTAATTCTCATCGAGGAGAAAATTTCTCCTCAGCTCTGCAACACACCCTCCATTACGGACAACCCTATTTTGTTAGGGAGTTAATTCTCATAAAAAAGGAAAATTCCTCTCCAGGTACATGATACAGATTTGATACGGACTTCCCTGTTTCGAAGAGGAAATATAATCCCATCGAAATTGAATTTACCCCTTAGGTACGCGACACAGAGTCACTATGGACTCCACCGTTTCGACACGAACATTCTCCTCTTCTTTTTCTTTCTGTTTTTTCTAGTTCAAATGGGTACTTGCTTGAATTCTTCAATTATAGTCCTATCATCCCTACAATTGAAGCAAACACAAAAAAAAGTTAGAAAGAAAATGGGTTGCCTCACATCCTATTAATAGGTATATACAATCCTACTTGGAATATGAATAGGAATAATAATAGTAATAGGAATAGTATATAGTGTCCTAGCTACTTAGAAAAGGATTGTATTGTTGTGTCCTAGTTGGAAAAGGAGTCTATTGTAGTGTCTATAAATAGGGTCTCTATGTAATAATGTAGATACAACAATTCAATAATATTGTTTTCCTATATTTCTCATATGGTATCAGAGCCTATCTTGGTAGAGAATCAAAAAACTTTCAGTGCAGGCGGGTGGTTATTACTCATATATGTTGTTCGTCAGGCCAACGATTATGTTAGCAAAAGTTGGGTCACCGTGTATCTTTTTGATGACTACTTTCTTATATCTAATTTGTGTAGCACCGTATCATCTTTCCGATGACTATTGACTACTTTTTCATATTTAATTTATGTAGCACCGTACCATATTTTTGGTGACTACTTTTTCATAATTAATTTGTGTAGTACCATGCCATCATTCCGGTGACTACTTTTTCATAATTAATTTGTGTAGCACTGTGCCATCATTCCGGTGACTAATTTCTCATATCTGATTTGTGTAGCACCGTACCATCATTTCGGTGACTACTTTTTTATATCCTATATGTATAGCACCGTGCCATCCTTCTGGTGACTACTTTTTTTTAATATTTGATTTGTGTAGCACCATGCATTTCTCTAGACTACTTTTCATATTTAATTTGCGTAGTACTGTGGATTTTTCCGAAACACTTTCTCATATCTGATTTGCATAGCACCGTGTGTCTTTTTGGTGACTCCTCAGATTTGATTTGCGTAGTTTCATTCGTCTTTCCAGTGATACCTTAAATCTGATTTGCGTAGGGTTGTGCCATCATTCCGACCCTATCCATATAATTTCTCTTTTTAAGTAGGGTCGTGACATCATTTTGACCCCACCTATATAATTTTATTTCTTAGATTGTGACTACTTTCAACCATCAAATCTAATACTCCGACGTATGAGCATGTTTTGACCAGTTTAATATTGACTCATCTATTGATTCCAACACGATCCATATACTTTATACTAGATTCTGAGCACTTTTCAACTACCGCTGCATTGTGAAGAAATCTATATGGAGCAACCACCTAGTTTTGTTGCTCAGGGGAGTCTACTAGCCTTGTATGTCGATTGCGTAAGTCACTCTATGGTTTGCAATAGTCTTTGCAAGCTTGGTTTGGGAAGTTCAACACTGTAATTTTATCACTCTATGTTTTATCGACAGTACACATCAAATTCAGTATTTCATGAGAAGACCAAACACATTGAGATTGACTGACATTATGCATCAAATCCAGTATTTCATGAGGAGACTTAGCACATAGAGATTGACTGTCAATTTTGTGAAGTCGAGCGATCAACTTGCACATATCTCATCAAGCCCTGTATCGGTCCTCGTATTAATTACATTTGTAACAAGCTAGATACATATGATTTGTATGCACTATCTTGAGGGGGGTATTAGAATAGTAATAGGTATATACAATCCTACTTAGAATAAGAATATGAATAGTAATAGTAATAGTATATAGTGTCCTATTTGGAAAATCTGTATCGGTCCTCGTATTAATTACATTTGTAACAAGCTAGATACATATGATTTGTATGCACTATCTTGAGGGGGGTATTAGAATAGTAATAGGTATATACAATCCTACTTAGAATAAGAATATGAATAGTAATAGTAATAGTATATAGTGTCCTATTTGGAAAATGAGTCTATTGTAGTGTCTATAAATAGGGTCTCTATGTAATAATGTAGATACAACAATTGAATAATATTATTTTCCTATATTTCTCACACATCCAACGCCTTATTTTTGTTGTGGCTCGACTCTTCTTTTCTTTTCTTGTTTCATTTTTTTATAGAGCTCCTAACCATTACAATCAACTGAAAAGCTAAACTAAATTCTAAAAATCAAAATTAAGAAAACAAAACAAAACATCATCTAATACACCAGGTCACAAGTTGCCTCCCATGTAGCGCCTAGTTTAACGTCGCAGCTCGACCCAGCTCGTGAATTACTCATCATTCAACTCGAGTGTTTCTTGATCTTGATCCAAATCATTCCTGAAGTAATATTTGACACACTAGCTGTCCATTCACCAAAAACATGTAGTTCTTGTCTTTATTCCTTAGCACCACATCACCACATTGCATCATCCTCACCACTTCGAATGACCCACTTCACTTAGACCTTAGTTTTCTAGGAAACAACTTTAGTCGAGAGTTGAAGAGTAGAACTTGTTGGCCAGGGTCAAAAGTGTGAGGGACGATGTGCTTGTCATGCCACCTCTTCGTCTTCTCTTTATATAGTTTGGCATTCTTAAGTTGGAGCCTAAACTCCTCAAGTTCATGCAGTTGCCCTATCCTCTTCTTATTGGCCAACTGAGGGTAAAGATTCAACTTCTTGCTTGTCCAACACGCTTGGTGTTCTAACTCTGCCGGAAGATAGCAAACCTTACCAAACACAATGAGATAGGGAGAAGTCCCTATTGGTGTTTTGTATGCCCATAGTGCATCATCAAGCTTCTCTGCTCAATCCTTTCCCTGTGCATTCACAGTCTTCTGTAGGATCTACTTCACTTCTTTGTTTGATACCTCCACTTGGCCACTAGTCTGCGGGTGGTAAGTTGTAGCCACCTTATGGCGAAGCTCATACTTAGCCAATAGATTTCTCATCACCAATTGATTTATGAAGTGTTTCCCTCCAACACTGATAATAGCTTTTAAAGTCCTAAATCTGGTGAATGTGTTTTTTCATAAGCCTAATAACAACCTTTGAATAATTGGAGGGTAGAGCTACAGCCTCAACCCACTTAGACACATAATTCACCGTCACTAAAATGTATTGATTCCCATTGGATGGTGGGAACTAATAAGTCTGAAATTTTGACTCAATTGAGGCCTTTTTAGTTCAACAAATAGTGTCCTCAGTGCCTATTTATGTCCTTATCTGATGATATTTTGATGTTTTATATACTATGAAGGCAAAAAGACAAGGCAAGGATGAATCTGTGAAAAGAGGCCAAAAACATTAAAGAAAGGGTAAACGCCCCGCTGAGGATCGCCTATTACAATGGGGGGATCGCCCAATAGGTTCGGACCTCGCCTAAAGTAACATTGTTCACTTCTGAAAGTATTCAAGGTAGGTCAACGATGCAAAGTGTAAACGACGATTCACCAAAGTAGTTGGGCGAGCTAACCGCTCTATCGCCAAAGGTGACAGTTAAAATGAAGGCTGAATGGGTGAGTAAAGGTGGTAATCGGCGATTTGTTGATTGTGAAAGGCTGACTCAATCGAGTTCGCCAACTGAGGTTCCAACACTTGAAGCTTGAAACCAAGAAAGGGTGAGCTGAAGAACAGAACATCGATTCACCATATCATGTAGGCGAGCCCAACTAATGTAACCGATAAGGTAGCACATGGAATTTCGAACTAATTTTTGGGGAAGTTATAAATAGCCCAAAGGAGAGAGAAAATGTATCTTTTTGACAGCTGAACTTTTATCTTTTACCCATTCGAGCTTTTCATAGGGAGAAATAGATTATTTCTACTTTCTCTTAGTTTAAGGGTTTTGAACAATCCTGTAATTGACAATTGAGGGTTAGATTCAAAGTGGTGTTGAAGATTATTGTTGATTATCAACATTTTAATGGTTGAAAGCATAAGGGTTATAATTTCTTTTCTTTTTATGATGTTTAGCTAAAACCCCGATTCTAGGGATGTGATTATGGAGTTGGATGTTAATTTAATTTAGTGGGTCTAGTGTTTATCGCTGTTTTCTACTATATAATCATGGATTTGAGCTATTTAACATGAGGTTAATTTATGGATTCCTAGCTTATATCTTTGATTGATGCTTGAAAGAGACTTTTCTGTGTGCAAGTGGAAGTGTTTCATAATTTATTTCTTAAATTTGATTAGTTGCTTATACTCAGTCGGTCTAACCTACTGAGTACATGTGGATTGCACTCACCCCTACTTCTGTTATCCTTTTAATGTAGATCCTAGTCAGGGTGATCCTCGTAGCAATTGATTGGATCTAGCGATTTCTTCTCTTTCAGAGTTGTGGTGAGATCCTACTTTCCGGATCGCTATTGATCTCCATCTATCATTTACAGTCTTTAATTTCTTTTCAAATACTTGAAATGTATTCCAGATTCTAGAAATGTATAAGATGTTCTTTATACTTATGCTACCAAGTTTTGGGATCCTCTTTGTTGTTTCTTTTCGGTTGTGGCCTGACTTCCCTTTGGAAGTCTTGTATGTGTCATTTCATTGGGCTTACACACCAATTTTGGGGTTATCGGGGTGTGTGCCATCATGACCTTGGCTTTTAGGTCGTGACAGGAGGGGACTGGGGAGAAAATTACATAGAAGAGGTTGTCTTTGAAGGATCATAGTAAACAAAAGGGATCCAGATAGAGCGTCCTAGGAAACAACAGTAATAAGTATTATCCAGATAGACATCGTTCTTGTTTGACCATAAAACTGCAATAGGAAAGTGGAAGCATTACTCATTAAATAAGATTTGATATGCAACAGCTGAGATGAAGTAGAGAGCTAAGAGGAAAAAGAGTCTCCTAAGCAAAATCAAGGTGAAGGAGGTAATAGCATTTAACAAGCAGTCCATCTAAATAAATAAAATAATGTATGTTTAAGCCAAAACTAACATATACTGCATGTACTTGACCAAAATGTCCTCAAAACAATTAAAAGAGCTCAAGCACAAATCAAATTGATATTTTTAAAAGGTGAAGACAAAAAACATTTTACTCAAGTAAAACAGGCTACCATAATTATATGCAACAAATAGTTGGTTACCATGTCAAGAGTCTCGAGTATTGAGAACATATGCAGGATGAGCAACAAGTTTATTTTTAACTGGGCAATCACCATTACCAGCAGCTTCAGCTTTACGCGTAGCTTCCTGCACCAGACATCAAAAAGATCATTAAAAAGGCTAACATTACAAATAATATGTAACCTCTAGAAAAAAAAAATCCCCGTTTAAATAGGTAATGGTATCATTGTAGTGAACTACACCAGCATTAAGAAAATGCATCTATGAAAAATGTGTTATCCAAGTCCAAACAAGATGCAGTTTTTACTCTCTAATTCAAGTTCCTGAGCTCTCCACGTCAATCTCTCCCATCCTTGTATCTTCCTCCTCTTCACTATCTTCATCACCACTGATGTCCTCATTTTCACGGCTGAGCTTAGCCATCTTTTCATCAATCAATTTGTCTTCCTGCTCACTCATCTGAATAGATACGCCACATTAGAATCACCACAGAAGATATAACATAACAGAGCGAAAAAACAGAAAGCAAGAAAAGAAAAGAAGATAGCCAGAGATGCATACATTTCTTTTAATTTTGTTCCTTATTGAAGTGTTCAATTCCAGTCAATCCATTTGGAGAATCCAATGTTCCAAAACTCTCCTAGGAACATGTACAGGGTCTAACCCACACAAGTTCCAGTTCTAATTGATAATCTAAATAATGTAGTTCTCCCCAATTATTTAATACTCCATCCGTTTCAATTTGTTTGACCTACTTTCCTTTTTAGTTCGTTTCAAGAAGAATGACCAGTTCCTTTTTTAGCAATTTTTATTTCAGCCACATGTCATGTTTAAAACCACAAGATTAAAGGACATTTTGGTACATTTGACAGATCTTTAATTTTAGACCACAAGATTCAAAGTTTTTTTTACTTTCTAAACTCCGTGCCAAGTCAAAACAGGTCACTCAATTTGAAACGGAGGGAGTAGTATTTTATTTGAAAACCTAAAACAAGTCCCCAATTCAAAATTATCAGGATTGGAAGTCCCTTTTATTAATTGTTAAACTCTTGACCGTGTACATCCATACTATTGCAATCAAAACCAAATTAGAGATTTTAGAACTAACTTACATGACAATGGTCTCAACTAGCAAGCATCAAGACTCCAGATACTAGCGTCTAGCAGCGCCTTGCAAAGAGAGACAAATAGAAGGAGCGTTTTATTCAGTTGAACATACATATTTCCAACCACATATATGTATCAAGGACCATGCTGTTCTAGTAGATTGGAAGTACTCTCAAAGTAAAAAACACTAATCAAGTATGACATTTGTGAAATAGAATCCCCTAACTTTTGGCTAAACCGTTACATGATTATTAAGAGATTTACCAACATGTGTTATGGTTAATCTGGTCTCAAATTTCACAATTCTTAGTCTCATATCCCCATTGAACTATGGCATTTATCAAACTAAGGTCTCTCAATAAAACAAGAAGCACACATTCCACCATTATGATGAAAATATAAAAGCTCATAATAAAAATAAAAAAAGGTCGCTCACTGCTCTTGGAGCCTCCTTGACAGTAAGTTTTCTTTGTGACGTTCTATTTCCTCAGTGCAAGCTGCAATTGCTTTAGTAAGGCTTGTTATATCTTGCTCCTGTCAAAAGAAATAAATTAGAATCATAATGTGATAGGTGATAGGTGATAACAGCTGGAGTGGTCTAGCAAATAAAATTTAGTTGCTTATACTTGTGATCAATTAAGAAACTAGTGTAAATTGTATGCATTATTCTTTACTCTTGAGATTTTAAAGAAAGTTCATTCTCCTCAAACTAGATTTTTTGGAAGGAAGTATGCTCAACGATTGTCCATTAAAGTATTTTTCCATTCTCTTTTTTGCTTTCCAGCAGTGAAGCAATATATAAGATTAATCCTAGAAGTATCTTTAACATTTGACTATAGTTAATGCATGAGAGAAGCAAATCATATTGAAAAGGTGACAGTACACTTAAGAGAGAAAAGAAAATGGTAATCAAAAGAATGATCCTATCAAGTTGATATTTATTTACCACAAAACTTGAAAATAAGCACAGGAAAACCAAAGAGAAAGTCAAGAGAAATTTGGGAAGCATCCTGTGGTGGATGGTAGAAAAAATGACAGAACAGAGGTGGTCTTTGAAGGATCGTAGTAAGCAAAAGGGATCCAGCTAGAACATCCTTGAAAGCAACAGTAATGAGTCCAAACAGTCATCCTTCTTGTTTGACCTTAAGACTTTATAGGTAAGTGGAAGCATTACTCATGAAATAAGAACTCAATCTGAAAGGATCTGTTCAAGTTGGTCGATTGGTCTCTCCTTTATTTCTCCAGTCTCTGAACTCCATGGAATAGATTTCATTGGAAGGAGGGTGAAGAATGAACACAGTGGGGTTCGACTGTTGGGATCCCAATCTGCCAGCATCAGTGGAAAATGGAACTATCAAAGTATCAATCACGGGTTACTCGCATAATCGAGATGGGAGGAATTGCAACATCAGCATTTCCCTAAATCGATCCACTAGTAGGTAGTGGTAGGAGAGATCCATGGTGGGATAGTCTTGAATTCCGGCCAGCATTTCTGTCAATTAGCGGAAGGCTCACACATACTGGGAGGGTATGGCTTCAAGGGATGGACTAAGATGAAGTAGAGAGCTAACAGTAAAAAAGAGTCTCCTAAGCAAAATCTAGGTGAAGACGGTAACAATAACACATAACAAGCAGTCTTTATGAACAAATAATGTACTTCAAGTCGGAACTAACATATACTGCATGTGCTTAACAAAAATGTCCCCGGAACAATAAATAAGCTCAAGCACAAATCAAACTGATATTTTTGAAAGGCGAAAATTAAAAATATTTTACTCAAGTAAAACAGGATACCATAATTATACGCAATAAAAAGTTAGTTACCCTGTCAAGAGTCTGAAGTATTGAGCACATGTGCCTGGAGGAGCAACAAGTTCAATTTACGTAAAAAAAGATCTTCAAAAAAAGGCTAACATTACAAACAATATGTAACGTCTAGAAAAAAATTCCCCTTTTGATTAGTAATGGTATCATTTTATTGAACTACACAAGCGTTGAGAAAATGCAATCTCTATAAGTGATAGCAACTGGTTCAAGAAATAGATAATAACATGAAAATAATGATGCCATGAAGAGCGCCGTCAAACTGAAAACATTTCATCTCTATATATCCATGAATCTTCAAGGGAGGAGTCCTTCTCCTAATATTTTTGACTAATGCATCTTTAACTTCATTTGAGTATGAAAATTTAGATTTGATTATTATTACTTTATGTAGTTATTTAATGATAAGTATAGCATTGGGTGAAAATAATAAACTTCTCTTCGTTTGCTAAAATGAACAAGTAAAAATGAAACGACGTATAATAGAGTGGTAGGGCTTGCATTTCGTACTGTCAAAACAAAGAGTGTTACCTCTTTGTCCGATTTTGTGTTTTTCTTCAACCTCTTGTGTATGGTCCCCACGAAATCACATGTACCCATTATTTAGTATCACATGCATCGTTTTTGTATGTATATAACCCGACGTCTGTGTAATATCCCTGTATCAATCTTGAAATTTGAATCTTGAAATCATATTCCCTTTCAAAATTGGAGCATAAATTATCATTGATGGAGAAATTGGTGGAAGTATCAGAACCAGAAATAGGAATAGATTTTGCACTAGGCTGCAAATGCCGAGCCACAGTGAACCTCAGATCACTTACTGCAGCCTATCCAATAGCATTCAAAGTTCAAACTTCTTCTCCTCACAAATTCCTTGTCAATCCACCCAGTGGCCTAATATCACCTTTATCTTCAACCTCTTTCCAAGTGATTCTCAAGCCCCAACCCCAAATCCCTCCCACTTTCCCTCGCTCCCCTTCTGATCGCTTCCTCATTAGAACAACAATAGCGTCAGAACTCGAACTCGAACACAACTCAGCTTCTGAGTCGACTCGATCCGAAATCGTGAACTCCTGGTTCAAGTCAATTGGGCATCGTTCAACTCATGACATAAAACTCAAGGTGGTTTTCGTAGGTCCTTTTCTTCTCCGTCATGCCGTTAGTAACGGAGATTGTGATTCCGTTAGGAATATTATCAAACGGCAGCGATCCATTTTCACCGAGTTTTCAACCCGGGAAGCAGAGGCACTCTTCCGAGTAGCAAAGCAGCTCCCTAATAACAACAACGACATGGTGAATATTTTGATTGAAGGTGGACTGAAGGTGGACTCATGTACTGAACCAAACGACGTTAAATGGGTGTCCAAGGGATGGACGGCGTTACATATCGCCGTCGCGAATGACCGGAGGGAAGAGATTGAGAGGTTATTGACAGTGAACGGAGGGTGCAGGTGGTTGGATAGCAGAGACAAGGAGGGAAGAACGCCGTTACATTTAGCAGCGAGTAAAGGGTTAATGGAAAGTGGTAAGGTGTTGATAGGTGCAGGTGCGCAAGTGGATGCGAGAAGCAAAGATGGTCGAACAGCTTTGTTCAGAGCTGCTGCTAATGGCGACTGTCAAATGGTGAAGATGCTTGTTGAAATGGGTGCTGACCCTACTCTCACTGAATTGCATCTTGGGCGTTCAGCTCTTGATATCGCCAGAGCTAAGGGACACGTAAGTCCCACGTCCCCAATTTTTTTGTTTCATGGTTGACACATCATACTCGTTCATATTAATTGAATTATTTGGATATGACATATTCGTGATGAAAGAAAAAGAAGTTAGAGTACTACTTATTCTTTAATATATTTAAAAAGTTACAACAATTCACTTATTATAGATTATAAAAAAAATAAAAAATCACATATGAAATGGACTAAACAGAGTATTTGACAAGACAGAAATTTATGGAGAAAAAAAACAAAAGCATTACTGCATTATTAGAACTTAGAAGCGTGTCTTGACATTTCAATGACTACAACACATGTTATTGCCGTAAATGGGAAGTTGAAAATTTCAAATTTTCAAATATAAGAGATGTCGCTATTTGTAGAACAGATGATGAAGATGAAAGAAAGGGAGTAAATATCTAGTAATTATCGAGGTCCCCAACTTAATATCTTGAAAATGAAGTTCTTGCAGAATGTTTGGATCTCAGGCTGCGTTTTAGATTTAAAATGAGTTATTTTTGTTACCTTCTGTATCCAAGTTCATACAATTGTTAATACATGCATCTTTATTTTGCTAAATGCTCACATAATGGAATTCAAACTAGGCTGCAAACGGTCTGGTGCAAAGGCGGATCCGTGATTTACCCTGTCTATCACTCCTTAATCTATTAGGCCTGCCCAATAATTTGCCATGTTTACCATGTGTATGAAGTCTAGTTTCATTGCAATTATAGTGACCTTCCTGGAAATATCGTAAAACAATTTCAAAATTTCATGTGTAATATTATCAGGGGGTAGTCGTTACAATACTCGAAAGAGGAGAAGCAGTTCTACATGCAGCAAGGCGTGGAGACCTTCAGCTACTCGAGACTCTTCTCGAAAAGGGAGCAACCACCAACTTCCACGATCAATATGGTCTAGCAGCACTTCACATGGCAGCTATTAAAGGAAAAAAAGACGCAGTAATGATATTGGCTGAATTTGGAGCCGACTTGGAATGTCAGGACATAGAAGGTCACACTCCGCTGCAAATGGCAGTCGAAGGCGGATGTGCACAGACGGTAGAAGTGCTGCTGAACAGAGGAGCCAATGTAAATGCCAAGAACAAGAAAGGTGCCACTCCACTTTCTGTTTCTAAATTTTTGGGTTTTGAAGAAATAACGCAGCTACTCGTTGATGAGGGTGCAGTGCTTTCTGTAATTCCTTCAAATTCTCCATCTCCCGTATCTTGATTTTTGGCTATGTAGATGTACAACTTTAATGAATATATGTATAATATCAGGCGATTCAAGTAATGAACAAAGTATAAATTTTCCGTCTTTCCAACAAATCTTTGAAGTTCTACATCGGTCAAACAATAAGACTCGTCTATATTATTTCAACTAATAAATAATGACATGAATAGTCGTAGCAATAAATAAAACAGGCAGTAAGTTGTATATTTGCTCTATTAGTTTAAAAACTTAGACATGTGAGCTACTGCCTTTGCGTATAAGTTGGACTGTTGAAAGTTATGTAGAAGTCAAAGCCCCAATTCAGCTTCTGCTCTTTCTCTCGTGCTAACCCAAACTCAACAGATTCCTTCATTTGCTACCAAAATGCGCACCTCCATTGATACTACTATTCTCTTCTTCTTCATCTTCATCTTCATTACCCCATTTTCTTCTTCACTACCACACCACCATTCCCATTTCCTCAAACACAATCTTCCCCACACCAGTACTCCACATCCATACATCGAAATCAGTCATCCATTACCCTTTACTAACCTCACTCCATCTTGTTCTCATCTCTCATTCACCCACAACTTCGGCAACACATATGGCCTTCCACCTGTCTCCGTCCCTTACTCCTCTCCCTTCAATTGCTCATGGACCCATGTGGTTCTCCAGTTCAAAGCATCTTGCAAAGGCGAACAGTATGACCGTATTGCCGCCGTTTGGTTAGACGGCGCTGAGCTTCTCCGTACCAGTACTGCTGAGCCCAACGATGACGGAATTTACTGGACTGTTGCGAAAGATGTCACCAAGTACAGTTCGATTCTTGTTAAGGAGAATATTACTCTTTCTGTTATGCTGGAAAATCTGGTTAATGATATTTTTACTGGTGTGTATCATGTGAATGTTACTTTTTTATACTATGATGCTAAGAATGTTACGGGGGTTCAATTGGATGATTATGTTGATAATCTGATTTCAATGGGAGCGAGCAAAATGGGAAGTTTGCTGGGTTCAGATGACAGACCGGCGGATTTGATATTGCCTATTTCAGCTAATGGAGATAATGGGCTTTGGTTTCGAATTGAGAGTGAATCGGGATCATATGGGCAAAATGTTGTGATTCCTAGGAATACTTATAAAGCTGTGATGGAGATTTATGTATCGTTTCATGGGAATGATGAGTTTTGGTACTCTAATCCACCGGATTCATATATAAAGATGAATAATTTGACCACAAAGAGAGGACATGGAGCGTATAGGGAGGTTTTGTTGAAGATAGATGAGAATTTGGTGGGATCTTTGGTACCATTTCCGGTGGTTTTCACAGGAGGAATCAATCCTTTGTTCTGGGAACCAGTGGTTTCAATTGGTGCCTTTGATCTTCCTTCTTATGATATTGATTTAACGCCATTTTTGGGGCTTTTGCTTGATGATAAATCCCACTTTTTGAGTCTTGGAGTGGCGGATAGTATCCCATTTTGGTTAGTGGATGGGAATTTGCATCTATGGGTAGATAATTGCGCATTGCCATGTGACGTTCAGGCTAAAGTTCTTGATTATGGTACTCCTAAGTTTAACATTGAGCGATCGTCAAGCTTTCGAGGACTTGATGGGTCATGTGAGATTGAGATGAAGAGGAAGAGCAAGGTTTTAGGGTGGGTGAATTCAACTTCAGGAAATTTAACCACAATAGTTTCCAGAGAAGTGAAATTTAAGAATAAGATAAAGTTCTATCTTAATGGTACTGAAAAAAGGGTAAGACAGAATGTGAGAGAAGAGACTATAGTAAGTGTACTGTCTGATACAGGTATCACGATTTCTCGGACCACTACGAAAAAGACATATCCACTTAGTATGACCACTAAGAATTCGCCTTCATCAGAGAATGATACAAGCTTGATGCTTACTGACCTAGACCATGAATGGAGGGAGAGGAAGTCCATTGGGGATTTATCAATCTCCTTGATAAATCGGCAGAAATGCAATGGTTGGATGGTCGTTCAAGATCATGATGTTCTATCTGGTGGTGCCACCACTCAACAAACTTATTCTTATAGGGATGAAGTTGGTTGCTATTCCCGGATCGTTTCAGCTGGCAATGGAACGCTTATGAACGACACTTCAAGCAGTATTTGTTCATTTTCAGCTTTGTGAATTATGACTCCGTTTGGGGAGTCCTTTTTATAAGTTAAATGATCCATTCCCACAATCATTCCTTTCCCTGTGACCCTATTGTAGTGTATAGCATCAGTTGATTTGATCCAACTCATGTCTCAGTATTAAATGTAAGCAATTTGTGTTCTTGTAATGCAAGTTTTATGGTTCAATAAGAATGTGAACTGCCAGGAAAATCAACTTACATTGATTATTTGCTGGTATTTCTTGTTTGGTATGTGATTGAACTCTGGATAAAGTCTTTCCTGCCTTCTGGATATCAATAAACCTTCAAGATTTGTTTCCTCAAATCCTCACTGATGGAGAAGTGGCTGCAGCCTCCAATTCCATCACATCTCATTTGGGAAATAGCTGGTGGTTTTATTATTATCCGGAGACTTGATGTCATTAAAATGCTGATACCATTCTTGCTAACGCTACCATAAGTGTTGCCTCACATTTCAGTTAGATTGACAATCATTAGCCCACAAGGGAGGAAAAGAGTTAGAGTATCATAGATGTCACCAGAGACAAACTTACAAAAGAACAGAGTAAGTGATGGAATGACTGAAAATTTGAGCATAGGTCACTATCTTCATTCTAGTGAATCCTATATAGCATGTACTAGAAAGAACCTGATGAAAAGATTAGGAATTTAAGGATGGTGTTTACTGTGAATTCTGCATCTTGTAAAGGACCCTATCACATTCGCTATCTGGAAATATCAGCTTTTGAGTTCAAGCGACTGAGAGAGTGACAAGGATACTGCACTCTAGTGCAAAGACCTGAGCCTCGTGTTCAATATTTTGCACAAATGACTCCTTAGGTCCTGAAAGAGACACCGATCATATATGGAAGTTACATTGGAGTGGCTTTGAAGCTAGTGTCTTTACTTTTATCATTAGCAAAGTGTAGTAAATTCTGCTTGTTGCTTTTCTTTAGAATGTTGCTGCTTTTTTCTTCTGCTGAAGCAGCATTTCTATCAGTTAGTGAGCTAGCCGCTACTATAGTGGTGAAACTTTAACCCGCAACTAACCCCTGAAGCAAAGACGGATCAAATGAGAAACAACCACGCTCTCTCTCCCCTTGAGCAAAGAAGCACAAAAGGAAAGGACTCAGAGAAGGATGAAACCAAACTGCTATGAAACGAAAATATGCCTCTTGAGGAAAGAAAAAATGAGCTTGTAGAAGCTTGATATATAGTAACCAAATCACAAACAATTCCAAATGATGATATATTAAATAGGCCTATGCTTCGAGCAACCGAGCTTACTACAATATCAAGTTGAGCAAGAGCCCGAGCCAAACCAAACTCCATAAGCTTGCTACGATACCAATTTGGGTCGAGCTAGAGACCAGCTTTGGTATGGTAAAACACATCTGGAGCAAAGGCGAAAAGTCTTTGTAGCTTTTGCTATCGAGTGTAGTGTAGTGTAGTGTTACAACTTCAGAAAAGTTGATGCACATAAACTACTAATTGATTAGGAAAAATATAAAAAACTACTTAATAGTGTTTAGATTCAAATGAGATTGATTTATAAAAAAAAAATTCTAGTTTAAATTTTTACGCAAGTAGTTAAATCCAAATAGAGTTTAATAAATATTTAACTTCCACAGTCGCACAACAAAAACCCAACCTAATTAGGGCTAGTTGTATGAATCCTCACTAATCATGTGATTCCATTTAGTCTCATCTCAAGCTCAGTCAAACTGGCCTAATTTTATCAAGCCAAACTGAGTCTAACCAAACTTTAATCGAAACCTGGCCAAACCAAGTTACAACCAGAACCGATGAGGCAAGCTGAACTGAGCTAAAATATAAACGAACCTTGTCTAGCGAACCTAGTTCACTGGCACCTGCTTGAGCTTAATTTGCTACACTAGTGGAGCATATGCAGGAAGAAGCAGAATTTTCTACTACAAACGATATCTCAACGCATTCATCAGTTGGATAATAACACATTGCATGACTTTCTAAGCTTCTCAAAAATACGACAAACTGAAGCTTTCCATTCACTAGCTCTATCATAACCATTGCTCAACATTAATCCCGCCTATCTGGAATAGCTATTCCAAAATATACTTGTGACAGAAGAAGAATTGAGATGACAAGGTGTAGAGTTGTTCATTCTCATTGCAAAATGTATAATAAGATTGGAATTATCAAACAGCCGCACAAACTTAAATTGCAAGATTGATTTTATGTAAAAACTAAATGCTTGTCAAGGAAAATTGCCAAAGTAAACTAAGGGCTAATAAAGGAAAAGAAAAAAAGGTGAGGTAGGTTCTGTAGGAGCTGCATCTGTGAAGAATGTGCTATCCAAGTTCAAACAAGCCGCAATTTTTACTCTCTAATTCCAGTTCCTGAGTTCTCCACGTCAATTTCTCCCATCCCTGTGTCTTCCTCCTCTTCACTATCTTCATCACCACTGATCTCCTCATTTTCACGACCGAGCTTAGCCATCTGTTCAGCAAGCAATTTGTCTTCCCGTTCACTCACCTGAAAAGACAAGTCACATCAGAATCACCACAGAAGAAATAAGAATAACATAGCAAGATACAGAAAGCAAGAAAAGTAATTTAAAAAAAAAGATAGCCAGAGAATGTATACATTTCTTTTAATCTTGTTCCTTATTAGATTGTTCCATTCCCCAGTCAATTCAATGTTCCAAAACTCTCCTAGGACCATGTATGGGGTCTAACTCGCACAATATTCAGTTATAATTGATATGTTGAATAATGTAATTCTCCCCAATTAGTGTTTTATTCAAAAACCTAAAACAAGTCCTTAATAATTTAAAATTATCAGGATTGGACCTTTATTAACTGTAAAACTTTTGCCCATGTACATCCACATACTATTGCAATCAAAACCAAATTAGAGATTTTAGAATCAACTTATATGATGACGGTCTCAATAAGTCAGCATCCGGAGCACTAGCAGTGCCTTGCAAAGAGAGACAAATCGAAGGAGCACTTTATTCAATTAAATATACATATTTTCATCCACATATATGTATCAAGGACCATGCTATACTAGTTCGGAAGTAATTTCAAAGTAAACATAATAATCAAGTATGGCATCCATGATACAGAACCCCCTGCTTCTTGCCCCAACAATCACATGATTATTAAGAGATTTTCCAACAATATGTGTTATGGTTAATCTGGTTTCAAATTTCACATCTCAATCTCATATCCCCATTAATCTATGGCATTTATCAAATTAAGGTCTCTCAAAGGTATGAAGAAACACATTCCACAATTATGATGAAAATAAAAAAGCACTCATATTTAAAAAAAAAAAAAAAAAAAGGTAGCTCACCGCTCTTGGAGCCTCCTTGACAGCAAGTTTTCCTTTGTGACGCTCTATTTCCTCGGTGCAAGCTGCAATTGCTTTAGTAAGGATTGCTATGCCTTGCTCCTGCCAAAAGAAATAAAATAGAATCTGTAATCTAACAAATTGAATTTCCTTTGAAATTATAAATTTTAGGGACAAGAAATAATAATAAGAATGGCATAATGTGGAAGCCTCGTAAGTGATAACAGCTGGAAGTGGTCTAGCATAGGGGTGTGCATGGTACACTAGATACCAAATTACCATCATACCAAAACTGAGATTTTTGATACTGCATTTCGGTATTATGGTTTTGGTAAGCATTTTAAAATTTGTTGGTATTCGGTACAACAGCATACCCAGTAATAGTCCCACAAATGGGGTCAGGGGAGGGTGTACACAAACCTTACCCCTACCGTTGTGGGGTAGGGGTTGTTTCCAATAAACCCTCAACTCAAATTTTGGTACGGTATTTATTAAAAAATACCGAAATACCAAATACCGTACCGAAGTATATAGTTAAATATAAAATCCATATATATTATTATAATATTAGAAAATATATAAAATAGTATAACACAAATTATTTATTTAGACATTGGTACTTTTGACTACTCTATCCTAATTGAAATGCGCTTTTATTGTAATTGATTAACAATAGAAGTATTTTTAATACCGAATCAATTAGGTATTGTAATGGTATAGTACTTTTAATAATCAAAAACCAAAATTACATGAACTGAAGTTTTCCCATATCATGCCCACCCCTAGTCTAGCATATAAGATTAAGCTGATTATACTTGTGAGTTCTGACCAGTTAAGAAACTAGTGGGAATTGATTGTGTTACTCTTATGATTTTTAGGAAGGTTCATTCTCCTCAAATTGGAATTTTTTGAAGGAACTATGCTCAACGATTGCCCACTGAAGTAATTTTCCATCCTTTTTTTCACTTTCCAGCAGTGAGTAACATAAAAGATTAATCCTAGAAGTATCTTTAAGCCTTTAACATTAACTATGGTTGATGCGTGAGACAAGGAAAACACATTGAAAGGTGACAGCACACTTGAGAGAGAAATGACAGTCAAAAGTATGATCCTGTCAAGTTGATATTCATTCACCACCTAACTTGAAAATAAGCACAGGAAAAACAAAGAGAGCCAAAAGATTTTTCGGAAGCATCCTGTGGTGAAGACTGGGGAGAAAAAAAAAACGAAATAGAAGAGGTGGTCATTGAAGGATCATACTAAGCATAAGGGATCCAGCTAGAGCGTACTAGAAAACAACAGCAGTGAGTATTATCCAAACAGACATCCTTCTTGTTTGACCATAAAACTGTAATAGGTAAGTGGAAGCATTACTCATAAAACAAGAATTGGATATGCAACAGCTAAGATAAAGTAGAGAGCCAAGAGAAAAAGAGTCTCCTAAGCAAAAATAAGGTGAAGGAGGTAATTGCACATATCAAGCAGTCTATATAAATAAATAATGTATCTTTAAACTGGAACAAACATATACTGCATGTGCTTGACCATAATGTCCTCAGAACAATAAAAAGTCCCAAGCACAAATCAAACTGATATTTTTAAAAGGTGAAGACTAAAAGCATATTACTCAAGTAAAACAGGCTACCATAATTATATGCAATAAACAGTTAGTTACCTTGTCAAGAGTCTGAGTATTGAGCACATATGCTGGAGGAGCAACAAGTTTAATTTTAACAGGGCAATCATCATTACCAGCAGCCTCAGCTTTCCGCATAGCTTCCTGCACCAGACGTGAAAAAAATCATCAAAAACAGGCTAACATTACAAACAAAATGTAACCACTAGAGAAAAGAAATCCCCTTTTGACAGGTAGTGGTATCATTTTATTGAACAACACCAGCATAAAGAAAATGCAACCTCCAGACCCCACAGGTGGGTACACACTGGGTTATTGTTGCATAAGTGATACCAACTGGTTAAAGAAATAGATAATAACATGAAAATGATGATGCCAAATGTACAAACCTTAATGTGAAGAACACCATCAAACTGAAAACATTTCATCTCAATATCTGCTCGAATCTTCAATGGCTGTGGAGTCATTCTTCTCCTAATATTCTTTACCAATGCATCTTTAACTTCCTCGGACAAAGCAGGAGCAACTTTAGTTACCTAGAGAAGATAAGATAATAAATATTATTAGACATCATTGGACGAAATAAACCTAGAAAATGATATGACAAAAGACCTACCTCCTTCCCATCAGGACCAATTTCTTTGACTTCACGAGTGAGGGAATTAAGTATTGAATCTGGATCACTGACAACCAATTTGAATGCCTAGAAATCAAAACCAAGAATTTCATGATGAATCTTGCCAATCAGAAGAGGGAAAAGAAATATTTGGAAATCGATACAAATTCTCACCTCAAAAGCATGACCATATTTTCTATATAAAGGCCAACCTACATGAATATACAAGTCCTGCAATTAACATGCCCAATGATTAATAGAAATTAAAGAGTAAAACTCAAAGTTCTACTGGACAGGGATTTTAGAAGAGGAAAAAATTTCAGTAGTGTTACATGGATATGCATTTTTCTCAATAAACAATAATGAATGTTCCTCTCTACCCCCACTAAGGTAGGGGACTAGGGGTAAGGTCTGTGTACACCACACCCTCCACAGACCTCACTGGGTATATTGCTGATGAAACAATGTTGAATATTCTCTTATATCTCAAACAGCAAGTAATTGCATTTCCCACAGAACATGACCAAATTTAGGAAAAGCAGTTCCTGGCAACTCATTCCTCAGAGAGAAAAGAAAAGAGGGGATAAATGGGCATTCCCTCAACAGCAGCAGAAGTTCTAATTAACATGCAAACTAGTTTGCATGGCCAAGGGCACATGGAAAAAAAAAAGCAGTCACACCCGTTTCGTGAAATTTTAGGCAGAAATCATCAGAGATGCAAGGACGAATAGTCCACTTAAGACAACATATAACAAGGGCAACAAACGAGAAAAAGAGCAAATGAAAGTAACAAACTCCTTCATGCTAAGGCCTAAGGTATTACATAGAGTATAGTATATTTACGCACTCCCAGTTACAAAGCAGTAAGGCAGAGAAAAGTAACTGGTAAAATACCCATATTGAAGAAAGTGATAGCAAGTCTATGTTCATACTTGACTAGCTAAAACCAGATAAATTTCATATAACTTTTATTAGAATTTCATCAACACTCTATACCACCACCAATCCAGCAGGCCCAGACCATTACACCAGCAGAAAAAGGCCTCTTCCCCCTTCAATGCAATTCACAAATAATATCTTGAAACCCTACATTGACCATGGAAGATATCCAATTGCAGTAACATCAACAGTTTTTCTGCACTTATGAACTCCCTAAAAAGCAAAGATTACACTTCCAGTTCTTGCTTGTCCTTGAAGTAAAGCATTACCCAAAGAACTAAATCAATAGAAAGTTAACATCGCCCAAACTTCACAATAAGGTGACAGAATAAATTGTGAAACATATTTTTTTGCAAATCCATGTATTCTACACATCTCTATATCAAACTGGAGTTCTTAAGAAGAGAAATCAATTGGATGGTACCCATAAACAAACTGATAATGGAAAACATAAAACTTTTTTTTTTCAAATAGGTAACTTAATAGAAAACATAAACTTAAACTCAATTTTTCTTTTATATGATACAACTGTTATCTTAGAAGAGCCATGTACACCTAAGAAGAGAAATCAATCGGATGGGATCCACAAACAAAACTGAAATGGAAAACATGAACTTAAACTCTTTCTTTTCTTTTATAAATATACATACAACTGTAATCTTAGAGGATCTTTCATGTACGTCTATCCTTAATCTGTAAGGGGTCGTTTGGTTGGGAACAAGTTATCCTGGGGTTAGCTATCTTGGGATAACTTATCCCACCGTGTATATGGGATAACTTATCCCATCACTATGATATAAATGGTGGGATAAGTTATCCCAAACAGGGCAACCAAACAAGATACAATTTTTTTATCCCATCACTATTATTTTTTATCCCTCACACCAAACGACCCCTAAGAGACATGGCTCAAAGGACAAGACTCATAGCTAAATTTTTTGCCAAACCACAGTTTCCTTTCTCTGAGTTCTTCTAAGAGAGTTCCGTTTCATCATACTGCATAAAAATAAGCAGACCAATTCCACCTAATCATTTCGCATGAACTCTTCTTTAGATTTATTGTTTATCTTTAGGACAGTACACCGTTCAAAGCTCGGAATGGGAATGCAAGAAAATGTCAAATCAACAATACTAACTCAGTCATTTGCTTCGCACTTCAATAATTTCTACTATCCATAGGCCTCATATTCAATAGAAATTCCAAATTGAACCAAATGTTTTGCTCCCTTTGTATACCTGACACATTTCCATTTACAGATATTACAATAATTCAAATTCATTAAACTATTCCAAATTTTAAACTTAGATACCATGTCTTCTAAACCAAGCTAATTCCTCATCCCTTACATTAATTTTTCCATCCATTATCACGAATTATACAAAAAATCGAAACAAAATGTAAAATCCAATATCCAGATTAATTCCTTCATATATATGAAATTAAAAAGAGATAGTAGTAACTTTCTGTAGGACCAAAGTAAAACAAAAAAAAGGAATTTGAGAAACTATCTAACCTCCAGATCAATTCCCATGGTTTCAGCAACATGACGCATGATTGAATGAACAAGCTTACTCTTATTATACCTCTCCTCACAACCCGAAATATCTTCCTCAGAAACCCTTCGTTTACTGAGATCGATATATCCTTTCTCCTTATCAACCCTAAGAACCATAACCGGTTCGATGCGTCCAACTTTGATAAGACTGCTAATACTCCGAATACGACGACGAGAGAGCTCAGAGAAAAGGATCATTCCTTCTATGTTATTGTACTCTAGAAGGGCAACGTAGGCGCCGCTGTCAGCCATGCTTTTCACCTGTATCATCACAGCTTGGTCTACTTCAGGGTACTTGGCTTCGTACATTCGACATTCGAGGTTCGGGGAGTTGGTCGCCATGATGGGCAGGAGTAGCAGTTACTAGGGTTTCGCAGAGAAAGAGATGATAGGAATGGGTTTTGACTGTAGAGGGGCTGAAAGAAGACAGACCACTCGCAATATATTCCTTACACAATTATACACTACAACCCTTGAGGTTTCATGCGTTAAAATTAGACCTATTGGCAATTTGTAAGGCTCAATACAAACCAAATGGAATGCAAGTTATAATGGATAAATTTTGTTGGGATTAATTTTTATTATTTGTTTGGTTTGTTATATTCAAACTTATATTCATTGCAAAATTTCTAAGAATAAGTTCTTTGTTTATAAAAATATATTCCACCTTATTTAGTTTTTTTGACATTTTCTTTGCAAGCTTTAGTTATTCATTCTTCAAAAAAATAAAAAATCATCTTATTTAGCTTAAATATTTTTGTGTGTGCATTTCCATGATTGTTCCGTGTATTTTTAAAATTAAACTTTCAGCTTATTTAACTTAAAAGTAAAACTTTCATCTTATTTAGCTTAAACATAAATTTTTATCTTATTTAGATTAAAAATAAAACTTTCATTTAATCTAGTTGAAAATAAAACTTCCATCTTCTTTAGCTTAAAAATAAAACTTTCATTTTAAATTTATTAAAGTAAGAGAAACTTTGAAACTTGTGAAACCTTAACCTTGTGTTGGAGATCCTTGGGAGAATTTTGGAGAAGAATGGGGGAATTTGGGGTTGTAAGTGAATGAGAAGGAATGAGATATTTTTGAAGAGTAAAATCAGTTATAAGGGTAGTTTTAGGGTCAAAACGACACACTTTAGGGGTTAAATGGATAGGAAAAGGCCAAAACGTTCTTACTTTAAAACTGTCGGGTGACTCCTACGTTTCAAACCTACAGTCCGTAGACCATCATGGTCAACCATAGAGTCAAGTACTGGGTCAAAATACAGAGTAATTTCCACAGGACCCTTCTACGGGACGTCGTCCCTTCTACGGCTCGTAAAGCCAGTCCATAGGACCCAAGTTCAAGTCCAAAAATTCACGAAGTCTGAATTATTTCTACCGATCTCTCCTACGGTCCATACAGGGGCGGAGCTATGACATGGCGAGGGTGGTCAGATGAACAACCTTCGTCGGAAATTTTTTACGGATATATATACTAAATATCGAGTTTTTTTTGGATATATACTAACTGTTGAACAACCTTGACACAATAAAGGTTGACAGCCCAGCGGTTAAGGTTGTGCAAAGATGCCTCAGCGTTTCGGGTTCGAGCCCAAGTGTTGGCGTTTTCTTTAAATTTTTTCATTATTCCGTTTGTTCTCTTAGAAAAGGCAAAACTCAGCCTGGGTTCGATCCCAGGCTTGAACATTTCATTTATTTAATATTTGTTCCGTTTTTCTCTTAAGAAAAAGTACAAAAGTTACCTTTTTTAAGTTAAGAAAAACAAAAGGAAACAAAAGGTCTATTTAAATGGTTGCATAGTGTCTTATGTAGAGAAAAAAGTATTTAAAGATGTTTCTAATGAGTGTATTATGAAAACATTTTAAGAGATGAAGTGTTGTCGAGTGCAATATATTGGTGTGTATGAAACTATCTGTCAATATATTTGTCCTGCTTCATCTTCCTTAGTTTATCCATTGACATTTTGTAAGTTTCTGTTTTAAGAATTTTCATTTTGGATATTTGGTTAATTTGATATTGAGGTATGACTATTTTGAAGCCAATCTTTATAATCTGACTAGCAAAGTTTATTTTTTTACTTGTCCTAAAGTATGAACACCCTTGGCGAAAATCCTGGCTCCGCCACTGGGTCCATACACTTTCTATGATTCATCTTATTCATCCATAGACCATTATCAGAGACTGATATTTTCCAAAATTAACCTGCTTCCTTTCCAACTCAACTTTGTATTTCCTAGGTGCCACATTGTTGCTTGCACGTACATGCCAATCTTATGAAAAGTCGTTTGAGTTATGTTTTTTATGCCAATCTTATGAAGGGTCGTTTGAGTTATGTTTTTTATTGTGTACTTTGGAGGAGCAAAACTACACCTTTGTTAGTTTAAAATGTGCCAAAACATCGCCCACCGTGGGGCTCGAACCCACGACCACAAGGTTAAGAGCCTTGCGCTCTACCAACTGAGCTAGACGGGCTTGTTATATCTAAGCATCGCAGTACTTATCTCATTGTAATTATTTTGAGAAGTAAAATTGTGTATTTACAATATGATACTCACAAATTTTTATTTGAGTTTGGAAAAAAATGAGAACTTTTGAACTACGATACTACTTTCTCTGTTCTAATAGTATACTCGATGCATTCATATATGCAGCCAAAAGGTTTTTATTAAAATATATTTAATAAATTGCTACATTTTATAGTTGTCCCTACAATTCATGTCGATTTTGCATTGAAGATCAAGAAAAAATAATTCATTCTCTTCTATTTATTCCATTCTCAATTGTTGAATGATTGGCCGGGACACTTTGGTTTATTAGATGGATCGTAGTGGTCAGAGGCATTGGGCGAAACAACATTCTTATTTAAATTGTATTTTCTTCGTTCAATTTTTATTATTTATGTTTGACTTGGCATATCATTTTATTAATTTTAAAAAAAATGATAAGTTCACTATATAGCACTCTTTGAATTTAATAAATTTAATGTTTCAGCAAATACATCGAGAAATGTCTATAATTAAAAATAAGGATAAATTAGGAATTAAGTAATAAATTATCTCTCAATTTTTAAAATTAAATAATTAAAATTAAACATCTATTTTAAATATAGTGAACAAGCAAAAATGGATGAAAAAATACCATTGACCGGAAATTAGATATATTTTAAATATCTTTAACCAAAAAATGCTAGTTTATCTTGAGTTTTTATACGTTAAATTCAATTTATATTATCAGGACATGTGATTAATTTCAGTACGCTTAAAGTTATACGCATTGATTATTAAATTTTGTCAAATATTTTTGGATGGATAGGATGACACATCTAACAATTATTTTTGTACAAACACGAGAATCATCAAATGAGTATCAAATTTACAAAAATACCGTTGAATACACAGACTTTTTTCTGTTTTACCCCTAAACATTAATTATTTATAAAGGGTATTATTGAAAATACTCTTGAACATGATGTGAATTATTAATTTTGTCCCTTAAGTATTCACAATCTTCAAAATACATCTCTACTTAACTAACTGAACTTAAATATACCCATCTCATGATATACCCATAAATGTGTTATTCACGTACGCACACACGAAACCTATGCTGATGTTGCATATAAATAGATATATTATATGACATGAGAGGGGTGTTTTAAAATTCAGTGGTTAAGTAGAAGGGTGTTTTAAGATTGTCAATAGTTTGGAGATAAAACTAATAATTCGTGCCAAGTTCATGAGTGTGTTCAACACTTCTCTCTAAAAGTTATAGTGGAGGAGAAAATAGAATCGAATTCCTGAAGCATTTGTCGTTCTATAACGTTAACTTTTACATTGCCTTGCTTATGCTTCCATAAATTTTGTATTTTTGTTGAAAATGTCATGAACATATGTCGTTTATGTACGTTTAAATTTGGACTGATTAACTGGTAAAATGTCAAAAAGAACCCATTGCCCACCATATATACATATATATATATTTAAATTTCTTTATAAGAATACCACCTGAGTCCCTCATTTTTTTTAAAGAATAGAGATCACTTGCCATGTCATTTTGCAAGACATGAGTGTTTTAATATTCAGTTACTCAAGTAGAGGGGTGTTTTTAAGGTTGTTAATAGTTTGATGACGAAACTAATACTTCTAGCCAAGTTCAAGGGTGTTTTAAACACTTCTCTAAACTTTTATTAAGCGTTTCATGCTCCTACAAGGGTTTGAGACGACTTGCTATGCCATGTGGTAGATCGATGATGTATTTAAGTTCAATTAGTCAAATAGAAGGGTTTTAAAGTTGTCAATAGTTCAGCGACGAAATTAATAATTTGTGCTAGGTTCATGAGTTATTTCACCACTTCTCATATTTATTTTCCAAATCATTTCCCTAGATTTAAAATTATATATTAATTAATATGAATATTGTGATAAAATATTTATATTAATAATTATTTCTTAATAAAGTATATAAAGAGTCAATAATAGACCAATAAAAGTGAATGAAGGAAGTAATTATTGGTGCAAAATATAACTTGTTTAAGGTTATACTAAAAGATTAACTTAGCTATATGAGAATTGAGAATAAGGACTTCAGAGAAATATAAACAAACTGACAAAAAATTAAAAGTCAAACAAAAACATGTAAGAAAAATTATTGCATGCACACATTCCACAAACAAGACATGGAGAAAAATAGAAAAAATTGTAGAGATCTTAGAAAAAAAATGTATTTAAATTAAACTTTATTGAGCATAATAGTATGTGTTGGAATACTGACTCCCAGATTTGCCTAAGGAATAGGTGTATTCTATATGTTCCTTTGCATATTATAGCAGTTACGTTATGCAAAACAAATAAAGTAATGACACAATATTTTATCATGGAAAACTCTGGCTCATAAAGGGTAAAAAACCACGACCTACACCTCTGTAGGATTTAACTCCACTTCATTAAACTCTGAGCTTCAACACAAGATTACAAACCTATGTAACCTAAGGAATTATAAACTCTAATTTCCTAGACGCTAACAACCAACTAGATCGTCGACCCCACTTCAAGTTATGAATTTGGATTACAACTCTTGCAATCCTAGGAACTAACTCTAATTCCTAGGAACTAACTCTAATTCCTAAACTCCAACACAAACCCCCCAAGGTTTATGTTCCCGAGTCTTTAAGTCGCCCCAACTTGAAGACTCTATTCCTACTCCAGTTTATACTTCACTGGATCTAGAAAGAATTAAAGATACAATTCAATAAAAACTCAATACAAGCAAACCTGACTTAAGAAATATAAAACATAAGCCTATGAATCAGTTCTTCAATTCTTGTTTCCTTGCGTTGGCTGCACTTTGTAATCAGAAATCACTCAAATATGAACTCCTCTATTTGATTGTATTTTGATTGTAACTCTCTGTTTAAGTGCGCAAGTTTCATTAGAAGATTCTTACTCTATTTATAGACTAAGTAGACCAAGAATCATTTTCCTACTTCAG